TTTACATTCATTATATCTGAATGCATAGGTTCCGACCAAACAGTATCTTCGTAATTGCACATTTGGCACTTCAAGAAAAACTGTGTGAGACACCCATGTTGGCGACTACCGATCATTTTCCAATCGCGAAAATGACATTCAATACCTCGCGCATGATTGTCGAACGTTCTATGTATTTCATTCCAAAAGAACTGATCGTCAACAATGCGGCGGCCTTCTGGCACATTTTCCGAAATACGTCCCACATCTACGTGTCCGACGTCTACGACGAGATTGTTGTCGCTATTGTCCAGGACGTTTTGTACAGTGGATCTCTCACTTGTACATTCGCATTATACGACAGTTTCATCGTTTTTGCGAAGGGCGTTTTCTGATGAGATGCGTCCCACATCTTTATTTTCGCGAAGGGCGTTTTCTGATAAGATGCGTCCCACATCTTTATTTTCGCGACCGGGGCGTTTTCTGGTGAGATGCGTCCCACATCTTTATTTTCGCGAAGGGCGTTTTCTGATGAGATGCGCCCCGCATCTTTGGGATTGTTTGAGATAAACGAAGGATCATTATTATGATATTTACAAACTAGTAGGGGGTCTGACATATCTGTCTGACCAACCTCCTTCACATTTTTTGATACACAACATTTTACCGGGAGAGAATTTCTTTCTTTGACAACTGCAGTAGGTTCAATCGTCGATGCCGACGATTGCCATTGTTTCTGTCGCCTGCAAAGTAGAATGGATGAGGTTAGAAATATTTGTAAATATTTGCACACAAATTACTGAAATGTATTTTGTAAGCACTTACAGTTTTCTATAAGTTCTTTTGAGGGAGAGCCTTCTCCTACCCGGAAACGTCTGATTTGTACGTTTTTTATTTGCCATTTGTGCTTATTTTTTGCACAAATATTGATACAAATTCAATTTGTCAATACGTCTTCTACGTCTAAGAAAGAAGTAGTAGATGGCAACGCGGGCCTTTCCCCCACCACGCTACGCAAGTGAAACAAAAACGAAACGCCAACGCTGTGGCGTTTTCCAATTTCCCTGGCAGCGGCAGTTCGAAACGTGCTACGAAGTAGTGATCATCGAAGCAAAAAAATGAATTCGCAAAACCGCAGTAAGTGTTTCTTTTCATCTTTACTTCCCGAGTGTCATTGACAATTACATTCCGTGAACATTTGTAATAAAAATATTTGTTTCGAAATTTGCTTTGTCTCATATACAGTGGGTCACAAAATTGAACCAAATGACGTTAGGTTTCTCGAGAAGCCATACAAATTAATTTACTAAAATATATGCTTTTGTGGTCTTACAAAATGACAATTTGTTGAAATCGTGAGAAAAAATAGTCAAGGGTAATTTTTGAACTTTTTTATGTGAGCGTATAATTAAAATTTAAATTAAAATATGTCTTTCGTAGATTCAAATAAGTTAGGGGTATACTGAAAATTTCGTCGAGATCGATCAATGCACTTAGAAGTTATAAGTAATTCAAATTACTTGGACAGAATTGTATTGAATAATTTACAAGCTAACAATAATAATAGAATAATAAACAATAGAATAAATAAACAATATAGAATCGACCCCTCGGCTGCATATACACGATGTGTACGGACGCAGAATCGACATCTCGCTTGGATATTTGGTGCAATGTTTGGGTTCCAATTCCTGTTGCATATATCCAGGTTTTACTGTATACAGAGATGTATAGATGAGAAGTCGCGATTTTGAAATTGAAATTACTTGTAACTTCTAAGTGCATTGACCGATCTCGATGATATTTTCAGTATACACATAACATACTTAAATTTACAAATGTCATATTCAAATTTTCATTGCAAGCTCAGATAAAAAAGTTAAAAAATTGCCCTTTACTATTTTTTTCTCGATTTCGATAAATTGTAATTTTTTAAAACGACAAAAATACATATGTTAATAAACTAATTTGTATTGTTTTTGCAGAAACCTCACGTTATTTGGTCCGATTTTAAATGAGCTATTCTGTTTTAAACGGTGAGCGAATAATTTTGTGACCCCCTATATATTTCTGCGCTAATTTGTGTGGAGAAAATTTTTGTCTTCCGGAATATTTTTCCATGATACATTGGTTTTCTGTGAACTGGTTTATTCGTATTTTGTAATTCAATACAGTTCAATACATGTAATTGTCAATGAATATTTGTAAATTTCTGGATAAATACATTTGAAATTTCTCTGCAGTACATATTATCCATGTTTTTCAATTTTCTTTTAGAACATACCAAGGAAAAATCAGTGGGAGTGCAACAACAACCGCAGGCGCTGTTGCAAGCACTCCCAGAAGAGGAAGAGGAAATGGAACCGGAGTTGCAACAACAAGTACAGCCGCAGTTGCAACTCCAGCCCCAGCCGGAACTGCAACTGCAACTTCCGCCGCAGCAGCCGCAGCAGTCGCAGCAGCCACAGCTGCAATATCACAAAAACCAACAGCCGCAGAGATCGTTGCGTCTGTAGTAACCACCGCAGCTGCTGCCCTTGTTCCAGTTGCAACAACAAATGCAGCATCTGCAGTTGCAGCAGGATCACAGACCACCTCAACGGACGCCGTTGTTAGCAGCAAGTTCAGCAGCAGCACTCGTGGGAGATCCAAGAGCTGCGGTCGCAGGTGCAGATGCTGCAGCTGCAGATGCAACAGCTGCTCTGTCCAGTACCGCAGCAGCAACAGCAACTGCAAGACCAACAGCAACTGCAAGACCAACAGCAATTGCAAGACCAACAGCAACAGCAAGACCAACAGCTGCTCCAGCAGCAGCAGCAGCAGCAGCAGCAGCAGCAACAAAACTAGCAGCTGCACCTGTCGCTGTCTGGTGAGCAAGTATTGCTTCCGCAGCAACCGGTGGTGCCGCTGCAGTTGCAGCAACAAAACATAAGTCGTTTTCTTACGTTCCTGTTTGTACGTTATTTCTGCTATTCATTGTTTATACATAATAACGTAATATTTATTTTTCCAGTCATTGAGAAGTATAGAGCAGCGGATGCTACGACAATGCCGCAGGGCGATGAACCGGCAGCTGCGGGAAGAAAGGGAGCGTCGCGGTCGCGGTCGCGGCCGCGGCTCGGACAGGCAAGCTGGCTGCCCGTGCGGCTATATTCCCAATATCCTTGGCACGGGCCACAGTGCCGCTTGGCGTATGCCGCCAACCGGAGAAGGTAATTGAAGGCAATAGCCGTTAGAAGTGAGTACGACGATAATATATGTATAATATGTAATAATGAAAGATAATATACAAATATGATTTCTTTGATTTCAGCAACTATTATTATTTATAATTATTATTACGATTATTATTATTATTATTATTTTTTTTTTTTTTTTACTACCACTACTACTACTACTACTACTACTACTATTACTATTATTGTTGTTGTTGTTATTATTATTATTATATTTATTATTACTATTGTTATTATCATTATTAGGTCTAATTATAACATTTTCCGCTAGTAACGTTCTTGTCATTTATTCTCCTATTCCTTATCCTGTGTACTGACGATGTACACATACGATTTCCTAAATCCTTAGTTTTTGAAATATAATGAAAAATATCAGCAAACGTTCGTGCGATTTATGCGTCTTTCTCCGTTCCATTATTATTTAAACATATTTACATGTCTATAATGTAATAACAATTTAGATCATTTTGTTCGATAGAGTCTACAGAATTATTACGTGGAGAAAGGACCTGAATATCTGCTACTGTAAAAGCATAAATCATTTCCAAAATTGAATACTTGCAATTTTTCTAACAAGATTGATTATCTAGAAAACTATACAAGTTAAATAAAAATGGTTTGCAGGTTCGGATTCAGCATACAAAAATTTATAACTCACTTATTAAAAGTTACAAAATGAAATAACTCTTGCAATTTATCAAACGTTGCTGAAAGTGGATGATTTCCGCTGTGAGGTTCATTTCGGATACGATCCTATTTGCAATGCTATATCTCGATTATTATTCAACTAAATCTTTTGCTTTTTGACTATATTAGATAATTATGTATGGACAATAATTTGATATGCATAATCAGTGTATTTTCTTTGTAGTTATTGGTTTATATACAGTTCGTTGCGGGTGGACGATTTTCGCTGCGAGTGCCTGAAGATGGATACATTGACGATTTCCTTTAGAAGGATAAACCAACCTTAGGCATTCGATTTATAGGAATTCGGAGAACAATATCGGGACATTTTTAAAAAAAAGTAACCTTAGGCACTCGATTTATAGGAATTCGGAGTACAATATCGGGACATATTATTTTAAAAAAAGTAACTTTAGACATTCAATTTGTAGGGATATTCTTCCCTTGGTTATTTTATATTACAATATATAACATTTTATATAACATTTGCCTAAAGGAGTTAGGTCGTTCATATATTTCCTAGGTCATGTGTGCAGTATCGTATTTTTTTTTATTTTTTTTTTATTTCGGGTTTTACGTCGTATCGACCTACGGGTCATTAGCGACGACTAGGACCTGTTTCCTTCGTTTCTGTCCGGTTATATACTATGGTAGATGTTAATGTCTTTTAGGAAGTTTAGGGTATTTTCTACAAGTTTCTGAGTTGTGAGGACTTCCGTCGATGTTATTCCGTATTTTTTGTCTTTGGGTGTTGTATCTTCTGCATTCGAATAGTAGGTGGTTGGTGGTGATGTTTTTCTTACAGGTAATGCACATTGGTGGTTCCGTTTTTTTAATTAGGTAGTCGTGTGTAAGTCTGCAGTGACCTGTTCTCAGCCTGGCCTACAGTATATCCTGTCTTTCCGTTTCATATTGCTGCTAGGCATTGTTTGGTAGAAGTCTTTGGTAACGTCGTATGTTTTTATTTTCTTAGAGGTGGTCCATATTTTATTCCATGCTTGTTGTTCGATATGGCGTAATGTGACAATGAGGTCTTGGTATGGGACTTGTCTGCGGTTGTCGTCTGGCGGAAGTGATGTTGCTTCTTTAGCGGCTGTGTCAGCTGCTTTCGTTTCCTTTGATACCTTGGTGAGATGGAACCCAGACTAGGGATATTTGTTTGCCGTTATTGATGAGGTCCGTATAGGTATATTGAATGTTTAGGATGACTTCGTGTTTGGTTTTGCAATTTATGTTTGCTATTGCCATGGTTACGCTCATGGAATCTGTGAGGATGATAGAAGATTGGAGATTGTTATTTCGTATATAGTTAAGGGCCTCAAGAACTGCCCAAGCTTCTGCTGTAAAGATAGATGAGGCTGCTGGAAGGTGGAACTTTTTGGTCGTGTTGTTCGTGACGATGGCGGCACGTACTGCCTGGTCGGTCTTTGATGCATCGGTGTATATCGTTTGGTGGTTGGGATATTTGTTGCACAGTTGTTGGAAGTTTAATCTGTGTTCAATGCTGCTTGTTTGGTTTTTGGGGAGCTTTTGCGAGGTCAACGTTGGTTTCAGGGATTTTTAGGGTCCAGGGAGCTGTTTTCCTATATTTACGTGGAATGGTTGGAGTCGATGTGATCACGGTGAAGCTATCGTATTTGGCAATTCTTCCATAAAATGGGTTTGGGGATTTGGGTTTTTTAGCTTGTAGGTGAGTATATCTATTTGTGAATATGTTATTGTATGTGGGGTTATTTGGAGTGGAGGACATTTTGGCTACGTATTTTAGGCTTAGGTATTTCCTTCTTTGTTCTAGTGAGGGTTCTTTTGATTCAAATAGTATGCTATTTATTGGGCTGGTCCTGTAGCTTCCAGTAGCTATTCGTAGGGCGGCATTATGAATTGAGTCGATTGTTTTCAGGGTGTTGGGTTTAACCGAGTTATAAACTATTGACCCGTAGTCGAGTTTGGATCTAATTAGTGCCTGGTAGGTTTGTATAATAATCTCTTGGTCAACTCCCCAGCTATTATTTCCCAAGGCTTTTATGATGTTCATTTTTTTTGAGCATGTGGTTTTTAGGTATTTCATGTGTGGCCCCACGTTAGCTTATGGTCAAAGATGAGTCCAAGTATTCTGATGCTGTTTACTTTTTCGATTTCAGTGTTCCGTATATAGAGCTTAGGGGGAAGTATGGTTCTCTTGCGTTTTTTAGAGAAGATGATGTATTTTGTTTTTAGGGGGGAAAATTTGAGGCCTGATTTCACGGACCATGACAGGAGGTCGTTTATACTTTCCTGTAGGAGCTCAATGATGGTGGTTAGGCTTTTCCCGCTGCAGCTTATTGTTAGATCGTCCGCGAACAGGGTTCCTTGGATTGGCGGCTTAATGTTATTTAAAATGTCGTTGATTACTATCAAGAAAAGCGTAACGCTGATTACCGAACCTTGTGGTACTCCGTTGTGTATGATGGTTGGTTTGGAGAAGGTTCCGTTTGTTCTCACTTGTTTAGTCTAGTTTTGGTAAGGGCGTTGTTGATTGTGGTCCTTGGTATTGAGTCGTATGCTTTTTCGATGTCTAAACATACTGTAATGAGGAATTCGTTCTTTAGAAATGCTTCGCATATGCTTGTCTCTAGATTTAACAGTACGTCGGTGGTCGAGCGGTGCTGTCTAAATCCGTATTGGTTAGGTGACAGCATATTATTCGATTCGAGGAACCATCTGAGCTTTTTATTAATTATTTTTTCTAATATTTTACAAATGCAGTTTGTTAAAACAATCGGTCTGTAGCTTTCAGGTTTGTTTTGTATTTTTGCCTGGTTTGGGTATGGGTATAACTGTGGCTTTCCTCCAGTTGTCCGGGAATACTTGATGTACCCAAATGGAGTTGAAGATCTTGAGGAGATGCTCGGTACCGATTTGTGTCAATTCTTTTATCAGTTTGTTAGGTATGTTATCAGGACCAGGAGCGGAATTTTTGGTGGTGTGGAGAATGTTTGTTAGCTCTTCTAGGGTTATGGTTGAATTTAGAGTGGATTCGGAGCCAGCGTTTACTGGGGGGCTGGTGTCGTTTCTTTGGTTTGTGAGGTGCGGGGAGGGTGTGTGGGCTCTTTCTTCTAGGTTTTTATTTTTTGAATTTTTTTGGAATGTCTCTGCAAGGGTGTCAGCTATGTCCTGTGGGTTAGTTATAAATTTGTTATCTCCTAAGTCGAGAAATTGGATTTCTGTGCATGATTCTATTCCAGTAATGTTTCTGATTTTTTCCATAGGGCATTTGTTGGAGTTTTGTTTGTGATGGTTGATATATATGATTGCCAAGATTTTTTTTTGCTTTCTTTTATTATCTTGCGGAATTTTGCTCGATATTTTTTGAAGCTCGTTAAGTTTTCTGTTGTTGGTTGTCTCTTTGCTATGTTAAAGGCCCTGTGGCTTTCTTTCATGGCTGTGTAGCAGTTCTTGTTCCACCAAGGTGTGTTTCTTTTTTTTGTGCTTATTGGTTTTATTGGCCCAGAAGATTCCTGCGCTGCCTTTTTGATGATTGTTTCCAGTCGTTCGATTTCTTGATTGATGTTGTTTGGATCGATTTCGCTATTTGGGGCTTCTTGAAGGGTGTTTGAGATTATTGTTTTGTATATACACCAGTCTATTTTTTTTATGTTCCATTTGGCAGTGGATTTGTTTTGCAGTTGTGGGGTAATATCTAAGTAAGTTACTTTTATGGGAAAATGGTCGCTGTTATGGAGGTCTGGTAAGGAGTCCCATTCTAGGGATTGCGTCAATTTGCTACTACAAAGTGTTAGATCGATCGCACTCATTTTCCCAGTGCTTACTGTAAAATGTGTAGGGCTGCCTGAGTTGAGGAGAGTGATGTTGGGGTGTTCTAGTAATTTCTCTATTATTTTCCCACGGCCGTCTGTGTTGTATGATCCCCAAAGATAATGGTGGCTATTGAAATCGCCCATTAGTATAAAGGGTGTTGGGAGTTAGTTTATAAGCGTTTCTAAGTCAACTAGGTTTAGAGGATGGCTGTTTGGGAGGTATATGTTGCATATGTGTATTTTACTTGGGAATAGTACTGTAACTGCAATTGCTTCCAGATTTGTGTTTAGCGGGATTTCGGTGGCGTTGAATTTTTCAGATACTGCAATGAGTACTCCCCCACTCGCATGGTTATCGCCGTCTCTATTTTTGTTGAAGACGGTGAACCCTTTGAGTCTCGGATCGTGGTGTTTTTTAAGGTTTGTCTCTTGTAGGCAAATAATGGATGGGTTGTGTTGGTTTAAGAGGAGTTGTAGTTGTTCGTATTAGCTGTAGAAGCTGTTTATGTTCCATTGGATTATGTGTTTCATTGTGGTTAAGCGGAGTCGCTCTCTATTTCCGATGTCCAATTAGCAGTTGTTTTTGTTAGGGAGTACTGGGTTATTTTTTTGTGTAATCTGTGTAGTCTGTTTTTTATGCTTCGTCCTATGAGCAAGGGATGGATTCTTAGGATCATTTCGGCTAAGGCTGGGGTATTGGTTGTGTATATTTTGGAGATTTCTAGCGGGTTTGAAGCTGTGATTGCGTTTTCTAGGAAGCTTTTGAATTGTATATAGTTTAGCACGTGGTTGTTACTTTGGTCTTCGATGTAATTCTTAGCCGGTTCCAGCATATCGTCCATTTTGTCTAGCGAGAAGGCAGGAGATGGGGGTTGTTTTGTTTTCTTAAGGGCTGGTTCAGGGTTCCTATAGGGCTTTTTGAGTACTGCGTCTGGTGGCTTGAATTCTAGGTCGCTTAGTTTCACTGGTTTTGTGTTGCTTTCTTCTGAGGTTGTGGATAACGGTCTTTTGCTTCTTGTCTTGTCCGCAATCGAGTCATCCGTCGTTGTTTCTGCTGATTCTATTGTGTTAGAGACATGCAGCGACATTGGTTCTATATGTTCTTGTGTATTTGGTATTTCTGTTTCTAGTTCATTGGGCTGATCTTCGATGTAAGGGGGTGGAACGGGTTGCGGATTTGAATCTGTATGTGAACTGGTTCCGTTTGGGTTTAGGCTAGTAGGACATTGCGTAGCAATATGTCCTTCTTGGTTGCACCTAAAACATGTCTGTTTCTCCGTGGTAGCAAATATTCTATAGGTGGTGTTTTCTAACATAATAAGGAAGGAACCCGGAATTTGTTTTGCATCCTCTGGATCTACGTAGACTTGTCTCCTGAAGCTTAATATATGCGACAGGTCTGGGTCGGCGATTCCTGCTTTCAGTGGTGTAATTTTTGAGTATAGTTTGATGTTGTTTTTCCTAACAACGTTTTCGATAACTGAATTGGAAGTTATAGTAGCTATATTTGATAATATGATTCGTTTGGCCGGTAGCACCATTGGGCGGATTTCTATGTTTTCGCTGTTTATTGAGATTGTTTTGTGTTTAGAAGTTAGGTTTGTGACTGTTTCTTTGCTATCTAGGTACATACAGATCCTTCCGTTGGAGATCCTTGATAGGTATTTTATGGCTTTGGGTCCTGTTATATTACCGATTGCCCGGGCGTACTCCTTAATTGTGATACCATCGATTGATTGTAGAATAATAGCTTGATCTTGGGTTGGAGTGTGTTCGTGTTTCGTTATGTTTGCGTATGAGGTTTTGATTTCGGTCATATTGAGTTTTTGGGTGCTTTGGCTATTTTCCGATTGGGTACTTTGGTTTTCGTTAATTTGGAAAGGATACGTGGATTGGAATTTATCACTGTGGTGGTTCACTTTCTGTGACATGGTGATACGTACAATGTACGTATACCTATGTCAGCGGTTTATGTAGTGGTGACGCAGTCACCGCTATTACTTTGTTTACGAGGCGGCACACAACAACACTGAACTACGGAACGCGTAGCGGTACGAGCTAATGATAACACGTCCGAGTGATTCCGCACTCGGATTGAGACTGAGTATCGTATTTTATACTTTGCTGTAACGTATATAGTAGAGCTATCGTAGCATCCGTGTGTCATTTAGGTGTATGCGAAAAGTGACGTAGCATAGCATGACGTTAGTTGGATGCGATAATTCAGGTGCCGTTGAAATCAGTTTCTGTTCGGCCTAATTTTCGATGAAACATTGACTGTTTTACCGACGCGGAATTCGAAGTTCGGGCTCCAGGCTAGCATCATCTTAAGGGCACAGACTCCTTGTGCCATGACCTGTATTCGTGCACTCACACAATCAACGGAAAGCATGCACGTATACGCCATGTGTGAGAGAGACACTCGATTTCGTAGATTCCATTTTTCGTCTCGATAATTGCATAAATGAAATTTTCGCGGGTACAGCACACACGGGTAGACTTCGCTACAGGTCGGTCTGGTTCGCTTGAACGCTAATAAACATCATACGTTGAGAAAAATGGAATTTTCGAAACTGTACGATTGAGACAGACGCTGTTGTAAGCAAACAACATGACTGCCGAATGCTGCGTTCGGCTACATTTTAGCGAATATTGGACGATTTAATCGTTTTTTCACTGATAACAGAGCAGACCAACTTCCCTTGAACTAGCACAATATCACTGAAATTCGATTTTTCACAATTTATCACTTCTGGAAGACGTAAAATGGAATCTACGATTTGCACGCATCAGACGTCAAATAGACATAAGAATAGCTCAGTGATTCTCCGTCAGAGGCATTGATGGTATATTTGACCACGTTATCATCAGGGTCGATAAAACACAGATCAGTCGATAAATGTAAATTCTAATTTGACACCACAAATGGCTACGCGAATATAGCCATAAGTATGGCATAGTTGCCGCAACGTATTAAGACTTCTGTCACGCTGTTGCCACATCTGTTACAATTGCAACAGGCTCGAGCCGATTTTGATTCCTGCCAGACAGAGAAAAGAATAGGGCGCTCGAGAGAGAAAGAGGTTCGAGAACGAAACAATACATGTACTAATGTGTGCAACCATCAAACTTTTTTATTCATATTTATAATCATGTTTTTTTCATCAATTAAATTACAGATAGAATACTTGAAATGGTATGCCAGAAAAATGGATTATAAAACTTGCACCATATACAGTGAAAACTCGATAAATGTACATAACTATTGCCGGTCCACTCCGCAACTGTTATGGAATAGGAGAATCATTTTTCAAATTTGATTGCCTAGTCAGTAAACACTGATTAGAAAGAGTCAGTAGCTAAAGACGAAAGAGGGACTAAATCCGGGATTTATTGCCTTCATTTAAATGCCCCGTGTCAATGTGACCATACTAATGCACAGAATAAAGTTTTTTATTTTGTATTTTTCGTTAATAAAAATTTCACTATCATGTGGAGAAGATTTTCCTGATTAAAATGAAGCTAAACACAATATAAATCGGTCAACATTTAATAGCATAATATTGGGTTAAATGTTGTGCTTGGGAGTCTTTCTCTCTTTGTTTATCCTTCTTGCGCTATCCTTTTCTATGTTCGGAAACATCAAAGAACGGCGGATTCGTAGTGCTGGTAGGGGTAGAATGAATGAAATAATACACATAACGTAAGTACGCGGCCATAAGACTTATAGGAATGAAAACTACCTGACATAATAATTTCAAGAAGGGAATAAGAAATAAAGAAATTAATAATGAATTTTACTATAATTCTGTCACACTTAGACTGGGACATCCTGTATATGCAGGTACAATTATATTAAAATTCATTATTATATTTCAAATGAAAAAGATTTCAATAACACGTGGCTGGAGTGGCTGTCATGGGAATCGACGATGTAGACGGCGCGGAGAAAGAAGAGGCATTGTTTATATTTATTGATTATATTTCAATCGATAAATATTGTATATTATAGATCAATTTACATGTCTTTATTTTTCATTCCTTTCCTCAAATTATTAATGCCATATAGTTTTTATTCCTATAAGTCTTATAGTCGCGTACGTTATGTGTATTACAGAGTCTCATCGAATCTGTCGTAGCGTGTGACTATATTTACGCCGATCGGCCCTACGTTGTTTCATTCATGATACTCCTTCTCTTTCTCTCGCGCTGTCCTTTTCTATGTCCGCCAGGAATCAAAATCTCGCTCGGCTCGAGCAAATTCGTTTTGCTAGATGGTCACAGATGCGGCAACACCGCGATAGAACTCTCAACTGATGTGATTTGGCAACTATGCCACCTCACTTTCGTTTCTTATTCTGCATAATGACGTTAGATGTCACACCGTCAAATGTCGAATTTCTCAATTATGTGTTTTCACGATTGCCCGATTCTTTCCAATGGCGCTTACATCGATTCGGAGGAGGCCTCGAAGGAGTCTGTGCCCTTAAAAGTATTTATTCTGAGTCTTCCAAATTGGGCATATTTTCATTGTTTTTTGAATCAAATGAAATTTTCGCAATTTCTGACAAAATTTCATTGAATAAATCTAAATATTCTTTTTTTTACATTTTTGGTGAATATATAATGACTCAAATATCCAATGAAGTTATCCTTCTTGCTAGAAATAGAAAATACCAATAGTATTATATCTTATAAAAAGGATAACACGTAAAAAAAATGAATATACTCATTTTAATTACAAAATGCACTAAAATCTGTAAACTATTAAAAATAGAAGAAAATCTGGACTTACAGTTTGAAACAAAAGAAAGACACATTTTTCATTTGTTAATTATTTGCATTGTCCACAATATACATAGCAGTGCTACAAAAATGAAAAATGAACACAGAATCTCTTGTACTTGTTGAAAGTAGATACTAATATTGCTATCATCAATGTACTAATAATTTTAAATTAAATATTACTGCCAGCTGGCTGGCCATTACTATAACCTAACCTAACTTCACTTTTTATTGAAAGTTTATAATAAATTTCACACGAAAAACAAATTTCCGCAAGTAATGATGTATATATTCGTAATGTACTCAACAAGATGAATCCAACGATATATAACAAGTCCAAATCGGTGAACGGTCTGTTTGCTAGAAATATACTGACAAATAATATAATGAATATAATCAAGTAACGTCACATTGAAGAAAACGTTCTTAATAGAATTATGAAATATATTATTACATATACATATACATATATATAGGGATACATAAACATATACAACAAAATTATTAGATTATTAAATACTAAACATAAATATTATATTAAGATACCATAAATATTATTATCTTCCAGAACTAAAGTTCATTTGTTTGTATAATCATGATATCACCTACAGTGTGTCCCGCGTAACTGGAAACACTCCAATATTTTCTAAACTATTAAAGATACAGGAAATTGCTTTGGTGGTCATTGCATGGTAAGAGAGGGCAACATCTTGACGTAGATAAATTTTTTTTTGCATTATTATTTTCAAAAATATAATGGCAAAGTTTGGTTTTTTAAATGAAACTGTATATTTTTCTTTTGATCATTTGATAGTGCTTTTGAAATCGAATTCATTAAGCTTGCATGTATACACTTGATTTTCATTTGTTTACGAGATATTGCGCTAACAAATTTGGAAATTTTTCACGGGAAAAATTCCCTTCTGTGGGAAATATCAGCAGGGGTTCTGTTCACGCGTCAAGTGCCACATGTTAAGGGGGTAGACACGGGTAATGCAGCGAGGTGACATTACCGGCAAAAATGGGCCTAAACAGGGGTTTATGGGAATACACTTTTCGTCCTTATATGAGAAGATTTAGGGCTGGGTGAGGGCTCATTCGAAAGAGGAAGGTCCAATGCAGGGCGGTCTGGTCATGGTTCAACGCGATTGTGTTGATATCTAATAATATGAGTGTCCAAAGTAGAGGAAAAATCGACAAAATACATCCGCAGATTCCAAGTATTTTTTAGGTCACTAAAACAGTTCCGTGACTCAAACGGTGACCAGACCGCCCTGCATTGAACCTTCCTCTTTCGAATGAACCGTTATTTAGATCAAAATCTACTCATATGAGGACGAAAAGTGTATTCCCGTAAAAGCATTCCCAAAAACGAGTTCCGCCATTATCTAGATACTACAGAGCAAGTCACAGAGTTTAATTCAGCTAGTAGTTATAAGGGGGCGTCTAAGTAGAAAGGCTGCCGATTTGGAATCGTAGTCAGAAGGAAGTGTTAGCTTGATTACGTCACTCGAACTGTGCTGCGAAGGCAAGCGAAAAAGGAAACATCGCCCGAACACTGAGTGAGACGCACTACAGTCATGCTGTCCTTCTCTCATTCTGAATGTTGAGATTGTCCCTTTTCGCTAAGTTTTGACTGCGGCCCGCCTGGATTTTTCAGAGCGCCCCATAACCTCGCCCCATTCAAACTATATCGTGTTTGGTATCATTTTAATCAGAAAAATTTCACCAATGCGCCAGTAGAAGTTTCAGTAAA